TTAATCAATTTAAGTAATATAATGATAATGATAAAAATTAAATATTATTTCACAAAATTTATAGATTAATTAAATATTAAAATTAATTAATTTTAATTTTATTTAAACAATTAAAATTAATTGATTTAAATGAATCATTTAACTAAACAAATTAAATAAAAACTAACAGGAGTTTAAATGTTAAAGTATTTAATTTCATTATAATTAACTAATATAAAATTTAAATTAATATAATTCTAAAGTTTAACGGCCTGCTCCAACCCAGTAGTATTGGACCCTGGATTAGAGCTGTTCAGCTTCGGTGAGTTGTACGTTCAAACCCCACGGAAACCCTTTCCCCCCTCTCCCAATTAATCATGTAAATAATTACAAATTGTTTCAAATATATATATATATAATTCTAAAGTTTTTACTACTTATAAGACAACAGCGTTTTTTATATTTGATATCCTTTTTTTAATTATACCAAATTTATATTTACATATTAACCCACTATATATATATTCTTGAATTATATTTGCCTTCTGTTGTAGTGCTCCTAAAATGTGAAAAATAGGATGGTTCGTGGCAAGATGAATCATACTTCAGCCAATCTGACGTTGAGTTGGAAACAACTAAAAACCTACGAGAGTTGTAGCTCAAACTATGTTTTCTTGCTTGGTTGATAGCTTCTTGAATTATACTTGCAAGATCAGAAAAAGGAAGAAGAAAACAAAAAGAAAAAAAACATTTGAGTTTTTGTTGCTCATTGAAAACTATAAGATGCATTCCCTGGATGAAGCATTAGCATAGTAAAATTAATTAGTAGCTAGTACCGTAAATCTCAATAAATTAATTATTAATAAGACAGAAATATACTAATAAAAGATTACTAAAAAGGTGCAATATAAACAAAATGCGTGTAGGACGAGTTTAGAACTTAGTATTCATTAAAAAATTATTATTTTTTGATATAAAATTAAAGATAAATAAACTTTAAAATGTAGTAAGTGTTGAAAGATATGTTGAATTGAAAGGTATACCAATTTTTTTTCCAAATCAACCCCTGCTATATCTTTAAGTGGTAAATCTCCCTCTTTTTTTCCCTTACTCTTATACTAAGCAAGGAACAAAAGAACTCTTTTTTTTTTCCCCTTACTCTTATGCTAAGCAGCGAACAAAAGAACACTTGCCATCTTTATTAATACAGGAGTAATTTAAGCCTAAACATATAGTTTATAGACATTCAAGTACAATAATTTGAACATGTTGAGAGCAAGCAAGCATCCAAGTCATTTGATTTAAAACTAGGTAGTGTCTATATATATATATATATGGACATGACCTTCACTCTTCTTATCAATGCAAGCCTAAACAATAGAGTTTAGATTGTCCGGCTGCCGTGGTATTCTGCCTGCGTTCCCGAATTGCATAAATTGGCTGCAACTTGAAAAAGTAATTAAGAAGACTATCGACTGTATATCTCTCCCACAGACGGTCAGTACTCAGTACAGTTCTTTGATTATTTCTTATGTGCACGAGCAAGGGCACATTTGCTTTATGTCTTCATGCGCCCTCTAATCTTTGGAATTGAAATAATGGTCATAAATATTCATAAAGAAAGGTTTTATATTTCATTGGATCTAATTAATTAACATGTACATTTTTATGGTTTGACAGGGTTGAAATGGCAAAAAGCCGTGATTCCAATACTGCAATTGTTCCTTTTCATCTTAAAGAAGACAATTATGAAGATTGGAGAATTTACATTGAAAACTATCTATTGGCTCAAGATCTTTGGGGCATTGTTGAATCTGAGCATTCCGATTCGGGCGATGGGGAAATTTGGAGGAAAAAGAATGCGGCAGCTCTATATGCAATTCATACTACATCTTCACCAGATATTTTTGCT